CCTAACCAGTTTGGCTCAGTGGATAGAGCATCGGCCTGTGGACTGAAGGGTCCCAGGTTCGATTCCGGTCAAGGGCATGTACCTTGGTTGCGGGCACATCCCCAGTGGGGAGTGTGCAGGAGGCAGCTGGTCGATGTTTCTCTCTCATCGATGTTTCTAACTCTCTATCCCTCTCCCTTCCTCTCTGTAAAAAATCAATAAAAAATATATATTTAAAAAATTGTAACAAAGGCAAGCAGATGTGTCTACCTGACGGAGTTGGCCAAATTCTGGGCTTAGCCTGGTGGTTCAAGAAAGGGTGGGAGTGGGGTAGAGCCTACTGGCATTGAAGCCAAAGGACTACAAGTCCCATGATGCAGTCTGTCAGCTGCCACAGGAAGAGGGCCTCAGGCTAGGTGGCCCTTCCACTTCCGGCCAGCCCCGCCCCCTCCCCTTCCCCCAGTGCACCAGATGGCCTCGGAACGCTCCGCCGAGTGGGTGTGGTTCCCGGGAGGCCCCGCCCCCAGAACGCTGCTCCAATGGGGGTCACTCGTGTCCATGGCGACAGAGGGCGGTGGCAGCCAGCTTGCGGAAGGAGCCACCACCGCGGGGATCTCGCAACTAAGAGTGAACCCCGTGGGGAACGGGCTCCCCCTTGTGATCAGTGGGGACGGCAAGTCCCGTGGAAGGAACCAGGAGGCCGTCCCTGAGGCCCAGCAATGCCCAGGGAAGGAAGGGTGGACATGAGCGACCAGCTGAGTCCCGTCCCGGGCCACTAGGAGTGGACTCATCAGTCCCTCCGCTCTCCTCGGAACTCCCGGTGGGCAGAGTCCACAGGGGGCTCCTCCTCTGCTGTCAGCACCTAAGAGGCCTTAGCTAGCGGGTGCCTGGCCCCAGGGTGTACACGTGGAGAAACTGAGGCCGGCCTAGGGGACCTCTGGGCTTGTGCTCTGTTTTAAAAGCGAAGCCCGCCTCCTCCAGCCATCCCCCTTCCCATTCAAAAGCGAAAGGAGCTGTGGCATTGTCCCTGCCAGCTCTGTTCAGATCCTGCTGCCCCCCAGCGTGTTGTGTGGAGTGACCTTGGGTGACTGGGGCTTGCCAGCCAACCCAGCATCTCATGGGCATCCCAGGACCCCCACTGCCTCCTTGGAAACTGCCCGTTTTGCAGGGGGATGGTCTGTTCCGGAGGAGCAGCGGCCTTCCCTTCTCACACCAGGAAAGTCCTCAGGGGGCACTCCTCCAGGCCTTCCTAGGCCTGGAGGGGAGCTGAGTATATTTCATCCCCGCCCCTGTCCCCCCAGAATCTCAAGGATGGAGCCAAGTCCCCCTAAGACCAGCGAATCAGAGCAAGACTCTGTTGAAGAAGAGGAGTCCGAGGAGGAGTGCGACGATGGGGAAGTTGCCATCTCTCCTAACCCTGCTCAGCAGACACTCTCAAAGGCTGACAATGGGGTCGCCTTATCCATTGTGGCCACGAAAATCCCGAAAATAGTCTTAGCCCCGGCTGCCTTAGATGACTTAGAGGTCGGGAGAAGAAAGAGAAGGCGGAGATGCAGGTAACAGTTCCCTGCACCCCCTCACCTGCCCGGCTCCATAGGCACCCCCAGCTTCCCGTTGCAGTTGGGCTAGGGACCCAAGGTCTTCCCTTTATTTGTTTTTGTGGGTTTTTTTAAAATATATTTTTATTGATTTCAGAGAGGAAGGGAGAGAGAGAGATGGAAACATCAATATTGAGAGAGAATCATTGATTGGCTACCTCCCACACACACCCCACCGGGGATTGAGCCCGCAACCCGGGCATGTGCCCCGACCAAGAATCAAACCTAGAACCTCATGGTCCATGGGACGATGGATGCTCAATCCACTGAGCCACCACAGCTGGGCTACCTTAGCTTTTTTGCTTCCTTGCCCACCCCCAAGGTCTTCCCTTTAGCCTGGGAAGGATAGCAGGGAATACCAGAGCTTCGCTAATCTTTTGGCACAACGAAAACAAACAAAATTCAGAACCATGTGGATGGCTTAGTGTAGAATTTCAGCCTGTTTATGTCATCTTGGTCCTCAAAGGGCTTCTGGGGGAAACGAACTGCATTGTGGGTTTGTTGGGTGTCTCTCAGCTGAGCCCCTGGCAGCCAGGGGTCCGCCCTTCTCTCCCCTTGTGCCTGATTGCCGCTCTTCCTCCCTCCCAGAGCCCTGGCCATCAACCTGACCAACTGCAGATATGAGAGTGGTAAGCGCCCGGCTCTGCTGTCACTTTCACTCTGGGGGTGGTCCCCCCAGGCAGGCTCCCAGCCCCTGGATCTTGTTAGTCTGGCCTGTAGCCTGTACCTGAGCGCCCTGGCTCAGCCGCTCGCAGCTGAGACATACATCCCTGTGCAGTTAGTCTCAGGAGTAGGGTGGGCATCTAACGTGAAAAAAATAGCTAGCATGAAAAAAAAAATCACTGAAAGTCACCACTGCCCCCACCTTTGTCAGTTTGTTTTGTTTTTTAAAATATATTTGTATTGATTTCAGAGAGGAAGGGAGAGGGAGAGGGATAGAAACATCAATGATGAGAGGGAATCATGGATCGGCTGCCTCCTGCACGCCCCACACTGGGGATCGAGCCTGCAACCCGGCCATGTGCCCTTGGCCGGTATCAAACCCAGGACCCTTCAGTCCGCAGGCCGACGCTCTATCCACTGAGCCACACCGGCTAGGGCCAATTTTCAGTTTTTATCAGAGATGAGATGAGACTAGGTTAAAACCATTTTTTCAAGGAAGCTCTTAAGACGATTTCAGCAATTTTTAAAAATCACCAGCTGGGTCAGCCATCTCTTTCTCCCCTCTTATCCCCACTGTCCTCTGTGCAAGGGGCCCCCCAGCGTGTGAGGTGCCGGTGCGATCCCTACCAAGGGCTAGCTTTGCCGGCTAGAAACCATCCTAGTTGAGAGAGGGAGTGACAGGCGCAGGGAGCCAGACTCTAGTGTTCTCTGTCAGCTTGTGGGAGGCCCGACAGCTTCACGAACTTGGAGTTGTCACATGGCAGCTGAAGTGCAGAGCCGAGGTAAGACCCACCCCCCTCTTCAACCCGCTCTCCCGTCAGGGCTGTTCCTCACCCAGCCCAGCCTGGGCCTCACTGACCTCCCTCCCTCCCTCCCTCCCTCCACAGTGCGTCGCGCAGCCCGAATATGTGGCCTGAGGGAGGTGGGGGAAGACGAAGAGTGGAACGTGTACTGGACGGACTGCTCTGTGTCCCTGGAACGAGTCATGGACATGAAGAGGTTTCAGGTACAACTTCCCGACCCACGATCCTGAAGGGGCTGTGGCCCCAGAATGACGACCGCCCCCCCTTGTGCCCAGGCACCCGAGGCTGTCACTCTGTGGCTATCCCCCTGTTCAGGGCAGGAAAGGCCAAGGCCAGGGGCTTCCACACCAATGGAAATACTCTCCTCTTGGGTCTCTGGAACTTGTTATGTGAAGAAGTGTCCGCTGGGCACATCCGGTCTCAGTATCTGCTGTTGGCCTGGAGGCTTGAGTGCCCAACTGGCCCCCTCCAGGGCAGGTGACCGTAACAGGGGAAGACTCATTCAATTCCGAGCCAGCTGAATGGTCCAGCCTCAAGCAGCTTAGCCTAGCATCCCACCTCCACCAAGAGTCAGTTTAGGGCCCTATCTGGTTTGGCTCAGTGGATAGAGCATCGGCCTGTGGACTGAAGGGTCCCGGGTTCGATTCCGGTCAAGGGCCTGTACCTTGGTTGCAGGCACATCCCCAATAGGGGAGTGTGCAGGAGGCAGCTGATTGATGTTTCTCTCTCATCGATGTTTCTAACTCTCTATCCCTCTCCCTTCCTCTCTGTAAAAAATCAATACAATATATACTTTTAAAAAAAGAATCATAGCCCCAAGAAAGTCAAGAAAGTTGGGCCAGGGTTCTCAAGAAGAATATTAAGTCTTCATGGTATTTTTGTGAACCCCTACCTGGGTCTTTGTGGTGGTTAAGCAATAAAATAACTGAAAAGGGTCTACATCAGTGATGGCGAACTTTTTGAGCTCGGCTTGTCAGCATTTTGAAAAACCCTAACTTAACTCTGGTGCCGTGTCACATATAGAAATTTTTTGATATTTGCAACCATAGTAAAACAAAGACTTATATTTTTGATATTTATTTTATATATTTAAATGCCATTTAACAAAGAAAAATCAACCAAAAAAATGAGTTTGCGTGTCACCTCTGACACGCGTGTCATAGGTTGGCCATCACTGGTCTACATGCATATTTTGAGGGGAAGCCTCACAATAAGCCTCCCCATTAACAAGACTGTTACCAATCCCACAACGAGAAGAGCCAGAGACAGACACTGCCTTTACGTTCTTCCCTCATTAAATCTTCAAAGACAGCCCAGCTGGTGTGGTTCAGTGGTTGAGCATCAACCTGTGAACCAGGAGGTCATGGTTCGATTCCTGGTCCGGGCACAGGTCCAGTGTTTCGGGCTCGATCCCCAGTGGGGGGCGTGCAGGAGGCAGCTGATCCATGATTCCCTCTCATCATTGATGTTTCTATCTCTCCCTCCCTCTCTGGAATCAATCACTGGATGAGCCAGCGAGAGAGCACAGAGCGGTGGCGGTTCTGCCTCCCATACTGGGGGCAGTAGCAGGGTTCCAGCGGGCTGCTGGGCAATGCCGTGCCCTCTGGGGGTGCCCTGGGCCGGTTCCTAATTTCCTTTTCTCTTTGGGGAAATGTTTTCTCAATTGCTTTGTGCTGTTACACACCAGTTATTCTTACAGGACTGTTCCCTGGTGGTCTGAGGGATGTTATAAGGGTCAGTGGTTCTCAACCTTCCTAATGCCGCGACCCTTTCATACAGTTCCTGTTGTGGTGACCCCCAATTTCATTGTTACAAATTGAACATAATTGAAGCATAGTGATTAATCACAAAAACAATATGTAATTATATCTGTGTTTTCCGATGGTCTTAGGCGACCCCTGTGAAAGGGTCGTTCGATCCCCAAAGGGGTCGCGACCCACAGGTTGAGAACTGCTGGTCTAGAAGGACCAAAATCTTGTCTAGCCCCTGCTCACTACCCCTTGTTTGCTAACCTCAGGGTTATGTGTGTTTTGGGGAGAGGCCGAGCAGGGTTTTCTCACCTGCCTTAGGGGATCTTCCTGTTTTCTCCTTGGGGTGCTGGGTAGTGTTTACCTGCACTGACTTCGACCTTGACCTTCCCAGTCCTTCTCCACTGCTTTCTGGATGCCCAGGCCCCAGGAACAGGCGTTTCCTCTGGAGGGTAGTTTAACTCATTCGCTCCGTTTCAGAAAATCAACCACTTCCCCGGCATGACGGAAATCTGCCGCAAAGACCTGCTGGCCCGGAACCTGAAGCGCATGCAGAAAATCTACCCCCGGGAGTACAACATCTTCCCCCGCACCTGGTGCCTGCCCGCGGAGTGAGTGCCACCCTGGGGAGGGGAGGGTTCGCCATCTCGGTTCCCTCCAGACTCCGGCTGAATGACCTTGAAGATGAATGACCTTGAACGTCTCGGGATGGAAGTGGAGTGGTCTGAGACTGCGGGCTCCAGGAAGAGCGTGGACCGGAGTGCAGGAGGGGCCCACGGGGCCCTGGGACCGCCGTGTTGCACGGTAACCTTCTGACCGGCCCCGTCTGCCCACAGCTACGGGGACTTCCATGCCTGTGGTCGTCAGCGGAAAACCCGAACGTTTATCTGCAAGCCAGACAGCGGCTGTCAGGGCCGCGGCATCTTCATCACCCGAAACCCCCGGGAGATCAAGATCGGAGAGCATATGATCTGCCAGCAGTACATCTCCAAGGTGAAGGGCGCCTCGGGCCCACCAGGTCCCTCCACCAGCACTGGGGTACCCCGTCTCTCCCAAAGCCAGGGAGGAAGCCAGTTTCCAGCTCCTGCCCTTTCTGCTACCCCCCCCCCCCCGCCCCTTATCTTGGAGGCCACGTGGAGCCCTGGCTCAAAGCCAGCCTGCCTGGGTTTGAATCTGAGTTTTTCCACTTCTTCGATATCCTGAGTTTAGACAACTGTCTTACCCTGCCTGTGCCTCAGTCTCCTCATTTGTTATTGGGCATAACAACAGTAGCTATGTCACGTGGTCCCTGTGGAAATTAAACGACTGTGTGTGTAACATTGAGCGAGCTCTTCAAAGCCCTGTCGTTTCTCCCCGGCGGGTCTGCGCCCCCTCAGCCCTTCCTCATCGACGGCTTCAAGTTCGACATGCGCATCTACGTCCTGCTCACGTCCTGTGACCCGCTGCGGATCTTCATGTACGAGGAGGGCCTGGCCCGCTTTGCCACCATGCCCTATGTGGAGCCCAACCACAGCAACCTGGTAAGGGGCCGGTGGCAGCCCGGGGGCAGGGCGGCACCCTTCCCATTCCCACCTCTGTGTGCGGAGGTCTTAAAAGACACCCGTGGCTCCTCACCCACAACAAGGAACGAAGCCAGTGAGCGCCTCAGCACCCCTTCTTCCCCGGGGGCTGCCAGGACAGTCCTCAGTGAAGCGAGACAGGAGATGAGCAGTCATGGGGCGGCTGGGGTTGGGGGGTGGGAGGAGGAAGGGGGCAGGGCGGTCCAAAGCAGTGAAGGGCAGGCGACCCGACCTTGACTACAGGCCGCTCTCCCCGCCCCAGGATGAAGTCTGCATGCACCTGACCAACTACGCCATCAACAAACACAACGAGAATTTCGTCCAGGACGATGCTGTGGGCAGCAAGAGGTACTCCCCGCTCTGTTTTCTTCCTCTGCCCCTTAGCCTCAGTCTCAGCGGCCCAGGAAGGAACCTGAGACCGGCTCCCGGGAGGCCGACGGCTCAGGCAAACTCGACAGACCCTTGTCCCGTGCCCGTCCGCCGAGCGGGGCCCCGACCCACCCTGGTACCAAACCCGGCTCCACGCTGGTCGCGGCCCCTTTAAAGCACCCGGGACTGAGGCTCGGAGTTAGGTTAGCGCCCGGGGAGCCTGCTTCCTCTGAGCCCTGGGCCTCGCAGGAAGCTGTCGACGCTCAATGCCTGGTTGCGAGAACACAGCTACGACCCCCGAGAGATGTGGGGGGACATCGAGGACATCATCATCAAAACCATCATCTCGGCCCATTCGATCCTGCGCCACAACTACCGCACCTGCTTCCCCCAACATCTGAGCGGAGGGACCTGTGCCTGTTTTGAGATCCTCGGTTTTGACATCCTGCTGGACCACAAGCTGAAGCCCTGGCTGCTGGAGGTGAGGCCTCTCTCCTGGGCTTCCCAAATCCGAAGTCGTCCTCCAACAGGACACTCAGGTGGGGGGACAGAGAACGGGGTGGGGTGGGGGGTGCGCA